TTATACAGTTCTTCAGAAAAGTTCAGTGAGAATTTTGATTGCGATTCCTTGACCTTTTTTTTTTTTTTTTTTTGAGACTGAGTTTCGCTCTTGTTACCCAGGCTGGAGTGCAATGGCGCGATCTCGGCTCACCGCAACCTCCGCCTCCTGGGTTCAGGCAATTCTCCTGCCTCAGCCTCCTGAGTAGCTGGGATTACAGGCACGCGCCACCATGCCCAGCTAATTTTTTGTAGTTTTAGTAGAGACGGGGTTTCACCGTGTTGACCAGGATGGTCTCGATCTCTTGACCTTGTGATCCACCCGCCTCGGCCTCCCAAAGTGCTGGGATTACAGGCATGAGCCACCGCGCCCAGCCCGACTTTCTATACTAATCTGTGTGGAATTGTTATCTTCATAGTATTGTCATTCTGTTCAAATCATCCACTGTGTCTTTTTAAAATGTTTTTCTTCATAGAGGCCCTATGACTTCTTAATTTCCAAATATTTTAGTTACTGTGGCAGTCTTGCAAAATGCTATCTTGTTTTTGATAATCTATTGTTGGTTAATGCTGCTAAGGAGAAATGCTATTTATTTATCTTTCAAAGTTGATCTTGTATCTGGCCTAGCTGAATTTTTAATTAATTTGAATAGTTTGTTGGTTTTTTAATAACTGTTTTAATTTCACTTCTCCAATGTATGCATGCTTCTTTTCCATTTTATTTATCTCTCAACTCCCAACTTCGAGTCCCTTTGCTCCTACTTTCTTGTAATCTGTTCAGTATTAAATTTCTTGTTTTCTTCAAAACTACCAGACCTTTTTGTGGCTGCCTTTGTATGGTTTCTTCACTTTCATGCCCTTCCCTTCTTGTTCTTCCTCTGCTCAAATACCATCATCTTTGTGAAGCATTTCCCTTCTGCCCCAAGCAGAATTGGTTGCTGTTATCTTTGTGTTCCTAATACAGATAGCTCATATTCTTTCATGGGATTTGCTGGATTTCGTAGTAATTTCTTTTTCTGTGTCTGGTTATTCTGCTGACCCTTCACTAGGACTCTTCTCTTTGTCCTCTCCTTTTTGCTCCTTCTACCTCAGTCTCTTGTCACTGCTGTGTTTGTCCTCTCAACTGGCCACTTTCTCAGGCAGGATCCATCAACAGAGAAAATCAGTGGCAGCTCTACCCATACATGGTTCTTAGCACTCATAATCTCAGAAGGAGAGAGTACCTCTTTTCTGGTAGTTACAGAAGTGCTGGGAAGGATTTTGACAAGGACCATTTTTATTGGCCAAATGTGGATCACCTCTTATGACCAGGAGGCAGAGTCAGGCCCCATCCGATCCACATGTATGGAGAGGAGGGAGATTCTCAGAAGGACAAAGGGCTGCTTTGGCCAGAAGAAGGGGAAGTGGATGTTGGTCAGGCAAAAATCAACAAAGGACAGCTATAAGCCAGTCAACAACATTCTGGATCCTTCTTTCATAAAATCCTCTTTACATTTTTGTTGCAATGCGTATTCCATTTGTGCTTATGAACATACATTACCCAACCTCAGCATTCTTCTTCCTCTTTGCTACTCTAAGTTATATATGCTTGTACACTATGTGATGGATCTATTAAGGAAGGTGTTCAATAAGTTTCCAATCAACATGAAAACAGTAAAGATCCCTCCATCTCTCCATTTATCCATTGAGTGCCTATTATATACTAGAGTTGAGAATAGAAAGCAAAAATGAAAGGGCCTCTAGCTAGAATCCTGTATATTCTAGAAAGAAAGATAGAGATAGATTTGTCTGTAAGTAATTGCCACTCATACTTTGGGTTTTAAATGCCATTTTTTAAGAGAAGCTTTCTTTTGATCTCGTGGTTAATATCAGAGTGTCCTGTAATCCTCTCTCTTGTTATTACTTGTTCTTTTTCTTTATATCCCTTTTTGGAGTGATTATTGTTTGATTTCTCTCTTTTCCACTTAATTGTAAGCTTCATAAAGACAGGAGCCTTATCTATTTGTTGACGGATATGTCTCCAATGTGTAGCGTAATGCCTGTCTAGACATAGTAAGAATACATTTCTAATCAATATTTGTTGAACAACATATGAACAAAAATACAGTGCGATAAGCAATTTGATATAATTTGTTTCTCTGGGTCTACGGAAGACACACATCGTTCCATTTAGGAATTTTGGGAAATGTGTTTTTAGCTTGGTGTGACTCTTACTGTCATGTTGCTTCAGTATTCTTATGTACTGGAAGTTTTCCTTACCTCCCAGCATCAAACTCTCTGTTCTTCATTTGTTTATATTTATAGAATTCCACAGAGAGAGGATGATCCAAGGTTAACACCTTTTTTGGTCTCTCACTTCTGATTGTTGTTTGGCCCAATTAATTTTGAAAGAGAACAACCTTTTTTTCTAAATACATATTCTTTCCCTAAGGTTATTAGACCTAGTATTTATTAATAGTCATAGATTTTAGTTTAAACAAACTAAAACAATTTGTTTCTAGATCTGGGGCATAGAGTAAGGTGTTAAATTGTAAACCACCACAGCTGATTCTTTACTGTTGTTGCAATGAAAGAATACTTTTATGGCCAGCCATGGTGACTCATGCCTGTAATCTCAACACTTTGGGAGGCCCAGGTGAGCAGATCCTTTGAGCACAGGAGTTCCAGACCAACCTGGACAACATGGTAAAGCCTATATTTTTGTCTCTACAAAAAAGGCAAAAATTAGCTGGGCGTGGTGGTGTGTGCTTATTGTACCAGCTACTTGAGAGGCTGAGGCAGGAGGATCACTTGAGCCTGGGAAGTAGAGGTTGCAGTGAGCCAAGATCACGCCACTAGGTATCAGCCTAGGTGACAGACAGAGACCCTGTCCCCACCTCCCCACAAGAAAAGAAAGAATACGTTTGCAAATGTGTTGGATGTAGTCATCTATCCACCTATCTAAATAGACTGTAACTCACAGCCCAGTATTTGTTACTTCAGGATTTGACTTTAAACCCTGACCCAACTGAAAAGCCTAGCCAAGTGACTATAGAGTATGGATATGGATTCCAGACAGGTGTGGGCTATGTTAGGAATGAATGATCATTGTGATACAAAATTTTCTTGGGTTCCAAGCACCCAAATGAAATAATCATTAATAAATCATAACATGAAATGAAACATCAAGTTTGTCTTTCATTCACTTCATGGAAGAAGAACAAATACAAGAATTGCTGTATTTTGTTTTTTAAATTTTTTATTTTTTTGAGACAGAGTCTCACTCTATTGCCCAGGCTTGAATGCAGTGGTGTGATCTTGGCTCACTTCAACCTCTGCCTTCTGGGTTCAAGTGATTCTTGTGCCTCAGCCTCCCAAGTAGCTGGGATTACAGGCATGTACCACCATGCCCAAGAATTACTTTTTACATGGTTAATTTTTACAACAGTGATTATGGACATTTCAGGAAACAAATTGTTTTTATAGTACTTTAAAAGTCAGATTTCTGAGTAGAACTGAGCTTTACTCAATACATAATAAGGCTAATTGTGTGGGCCTCTCATGTTTTGTTTTGTGTATTTCAGTTTTAAACACATTTCTTTCTCTTTTCTCCCCTCCCTCCCTCCCTCCCTCCCTCCCTTCCTTCCTTCCTTCCTTCCCTTTTCTTCCTTCCTTTCTTTCTTTTCTTTCTTTCTTTTCTTTTCTTTCTTTCCTTTCTTTCTTCCTTCCTTTCTTCCTTTCTTTCCTTTCTTTCCTTTCTTTTCTTTCTTCTTTCTTTTCTTTCTTTCTTTCTTTCTTTCTTTCCTTTCTTTCCTTTCTTTCCTTTCTTTCCTTCTTTCTTTCGATGGAGCTTTGCTCTTAATGCCCAGGCTAGAATGCAGTGGCATGACCTCGGCTCACTGCAGCCTCTGCCTCCCCAGTTCAAGTGATTCTCCTGCCTCTGCCTCTCCTACTACCATGCCCAGCTAATTTTTTGTATTTTTAGTAGAGGCAGGTTTCACCATGTTGGCCAGGCTGTTCTCAAACTCCTGACCTCAGGTGAGCTACCTGCCTCAGCCTCCCAAAGTGATGAGATTGCAGGCGTGAGCTACCACACCTGGCCTTTTAAACATATTTCTATCAGTAATAACTCCTTAAGCTATCTAGTAGAATTTAAGTTTTCCAGTTCTAGAATCAAGTCATCACTAATTTGTTTAATGAGCTTTCATTTAAGTAGGTGGTATTTTTCTTTGTTTTTCATATTTCATTTTGATAAAAATATTTTAGTATTCTTTGGTGCTATTGCTCTTTTTGCTGTGTTGTTCAGATTTCTATTTCATTGATCTTGACATGTTCCCCATTCTAACCCTGTTTAAACTTTTGCGGTAACTGAAAATTTCTGGATGCCTTTATTCCTCTTTGTGCTTTCTATTCAGCTGAATCTTTTTCTTTTTATTTGATCTAAGACTTGTTTCCAAAAGGGATTAATGATCTTGAGAGGACAGAGTAACGCTTCATAATCAAAATATACTTAATAAAACAGGAATAAGTTATTTACTGTTAATATTTTGCTCAACATGCAAAGTTGGCCTTGAGAAAGGTAGGTACTAGAGACACAGGATCTAAGGTGTGTTACTGTTCTGCTGGTAAAGTGATCATCAACATCAAAAGGCATTGTTTTCTTCCCTACACTGTAACTTCTCTTCAGCTTTACAATCTGAGTATTTGTCTCTGTGTTATCACTAAACAGAAATGAATATAGAGGTCTAGAGTGGATCTTCAGAACACTGCTGGTAACTATTTCCATTATATGCAAATAGACCTGTCATTTAATAGGAGAGGGAAATAATGGGATAACTAACCCAAATACACGAGCTAATGACGGGAAGGAGTTTAATATTTTTGCTTGACTCAATTTTTATATTAAACATATTAATATTTTTCAGTAACCTGAAAATATTGAATATTTGGATTTGAGTTCTTAAATGTACAGATCATTTAGAAAAGAATAGTGTCTTACTCTTCCAAAGTGATTGTTACTCTTTTTTTTTTCCTCCATTTCAGAGATATTACATATGAAATATCAGTAGAAGCTATATCAACAATGGTTGTTTTCCTTTCCTGCCAACTCTTCCACAAAGAAGTTTTACGACAGAGCATCAGCCACAAGTATTTGATGCGAGGTCCTTGGTATGTTTCTACTTTAAATATGTCTAGTTTTTTCATTGTAGAAAGCTGTATTTCTAGTCTTGTCTCTCACCTGAGTATCGTCCCGTATCTCCAACCACGTATTTGCTCTAGTTGTTCTATAGTCTCTTTAAACCCAGTGCATAAGGAACTGCATTCTGCTTTCCTGTGCAATCTACCCATCCTCCCTGCTCTTCCTGTCCCTCGGCTTCATTACCCTCTCCAGTAGTTGCTTCCTAAAATAAAAACTTTGAAATCATCTTTTTCTTTCTTCTCCTTCATTCACTATGTTTAAACAGTCAAGTCATATTTGTTGTTCAAATTATTTTTGTGCCTTCCTATTCTCACCAGTCCCGTTGAAACAACTGTGATCTATGCCCTGTTACCTTCTTTGGACTTCTCCAACAACCTCTTCACTGACTCTTTCTACTTCGTTGAGCCTGTAAATATTTACTGTGTGCTAACCATGTGCCAGTCATGTTAGGCTGTGGGGCTATGCTCTTGAGCAGAAGCTTACAATCTCCTAGAGGGTGGGGATGTAAATGGCTAACACACATGCACATACCTGATTTTGTATTAACATAATCTTCACACTTTAAAAATCTAAAACAAATCCAAATGAAGTACCTTTGAGGAAGTTATCAGGTATGGGGAGCTTTGTCTTCTTCATGTTTTTTTGCTACCCTGATTATTCCTGTGACATATATGTTCTTTGAACATATTTGAAAATCACTGATAAGAGGAAAAAGACCTGGGCTTTGGAGACAGAGGATTGCATCAGAATGGTCTCTGACTGTGGTTTGAAGTAGTGCTGGCATCGTGGGACTGTGTGCATCTTTGCTAAAACAAGATTGTGAACTTCATTCCTTATAGTGCCAGAAGTATTCAAGTTGCTTTTTAAAAATAGGCATAGAGAGTGTTCGTGTTCTTATTTTCTAAGGAAGGTTTTTATAGTATCACTGTGGTGCCAAATATTTAAACCATAATATGTTCTTTACTGATTTTTGTGGTTCATCTTGGAAACCATATTTCAAAAGCTCAATAGTACAGTAAATAATCTGTTAAAAAGTTTACTCTAGATTGCAGGAATTAGTTTAATACCAATTGAATAATTGAATAATTTCATATTAAAAAGTATAGTCTTTTTGTTATTCTAAAATAATTGCTTTTTTTACTGGTTCTATATTACTGCTTCCCTTCAACTGCCAGGTAATGTATTTTGCACTAATTTTATAACAGCTCACAGTGTTATATAGAAGACAGATAAAGTAACCAGAGCTCAAGAGTTCAAGTGGGCTGGACATGGTGGCTCATGTCTGTAATCCCAGCACTTTAGGAGGCTGAGGCAGAAGGATCGTTTGAGTTTAGGAGTTTGAGACCAGCCTGGGCAACATAGTGAGACCTTGTCTCTCCCCCCAACAAAGAAAAAGTATTTAAGTAGTTTGATCAATATCTTATGATGTGATAAGAGGAAAAGCCAGGATTAAGCCTCAAAATTGCTCTCCAAGCCCCATGGTCTTACGTTATGTGACAGTGCTCAATTTCTGTGAGCTGTGCCAATAACCCTTTTATATTAATACATAGTGTTAATGGCAGAATTATTTCTGTGTTGTTATTCAGAATTAGATGACTCCCATAAATATGAGTTTGATTTTTTTCCTTTTTGTGTATAGTCTTCCGTATACCAGCAAACTTGTGAAGACCTTATTGTATAACTTTATCAGACAAGAAAAGCCACCTCCTCCAGGAGCCCATGTTTTCCCGCAACAATCGGATGGGGGAGGACTGCTTTATGGACTTGCATCAGGAGTAGCAAGTAAGTTTTATCACATTTTTTCAATTCTTTGGTGTACATAAATTTTGTTTACTTAGGCATAAGAAATTCTGTTTGCTTGGCTGCCACTGTTAACAGGTACATTGAATTTGTGTAGCTGGTTAAATGTGAAAACAAAGTAATTAAAATATTAATCTTTCTGTTTTGTGTAGTGATTTATGTTAAATATATGCAAATAATGAATCGATTACCTACAAAACGTTGTTTTTCAGGAAGAATGTTTACACATAAATATGTATATTGCATGAATTCTAGCTCTACAGTAAAAATAAGATTAAGCATTTGTAAACTTATAACACTACTTGTGTTTTAAGAGGAAATCCACTTTAGATTTTTTTAGGGCATTTTTTTGGTTAGGATTTTATGTGACTAATTAAGTGCAGTTTTCCTATTACGCTAAGTGCTTTATTCAGTGACAACCGAATATTTTGCAGAATTTTGTAATAAGCTGTGAGGTGGCACAGACTTGAGTTTTGTCTGATTAGGTACAAATTTCCTAAGTGAAGAAAGCTCTTCCCTATCTTAAAGTCAGTCCTCATATCTGCTTCACTTCACAGTATTCAGACTACAGATGTTGGAAGGAAGTACGAGAGTAGTTCTGGTAGAGGGCCTTGGCCATGTGAAGTTACAGAAATGAAACTTCCTAGAGTGACACTTTGGCACTTGTGAGGTCTACCTGGGAGCTCCTTATTCCTCCTAAATCTGCAGCATGTCCTCTCCTTAATTGCACAGGACAGGGTCAAATGGAGCAGATTTCCACAGCTGCATTATGGCTGTGGCATGCTCTACTCTCCAGCCGGACATCAGTTTGATATGAAAAGATAGCACTGTGGTAACTTAGTATATAACCAATGTTGGGAGCTTCTTTGGATTTAGAGACCTCTTTAAAGAGCAGTAGACTTGGTCTGTTAATGGAGAGAATTGATCAGTGAACTGGACTTTCTTAGATTTACTTTCCTTTGATTTCTTTTAATATTGAGAATTGAGTCACACTTGTGATCACTTCTACCTTTGGTGCTGAGCAGCCTGCCAAGAGGGCCACACCTGCATAGTTTCTTTGAGTGACTCCTATCCAGTTTCCTCTTTATTTCAGGGGCTTTTTGTATCCCATGGGAAGGTTTAATTGCTCTCTTACTGTTTTCTTGTCTTTTTTAATCATTAAACTGTTATAAGTATTTAAAAGCAGAATATTTTCCAATATTCCAATATGGTTAGAGGTTTTTTTTTTTGAGGGTGGGGAGATAGTCTAAGCTGATAAGCGCTTTCTTCAAAACATTGGCAATACTTGGCTTTTTTTTTTTTTTTAAAGTAAACCTAGATTTGTGTATGTTTTTTGGTTTTTCTTTCATTTATGTGTCATATCAAAAGGAAGTCCAGTATTGTATTAGTGTCCCAAAAAACCATGAATTTAACTTTAGATCTTTTCCTAGCTAGATACCAGGAAGGAAGCCCCTTAATTTTCCTAGCTCTCAATTTCCTTGTGTATTTAATGAGAAGGTGGGTTGGGATGGTGATTTCTGAGATTATTAGTATGTAACTTTTTATGGTCTCTTTTTCCCCACCATTTTAAAATTTAGTATTCAGTTAAGTGCATTAAAATAGATTTATGGCTTTTAGTGTGCTAAGACATTTTACATAGCTTTCTTCCTAAATCTTTATGAAACTATTCATGTAAAAGTATAAGTCAAGGCTGGATGCGGTGGCTCATGCCTGTAATCCCAGCAGTTTGGGAGGCCAAGGGGGCTGGATCATGAGGTCAGTAGTTTGAGACCAGCCTGACCAATGTGGTGAAACCGCATCTATACTAAAAAATAAAAAAAATTAGCCGGGCGTGGTGGCAGGCACTTGTAATCCCAGCTACCCAGGAAGCTGAGGCAGAAGAATTGCTTGAACCTGGGAGATAGAGGTTTTAGTGAGCCAAGGTCACGCCACTGCACTCCAAGCCTGGTGACAGAGTGGGACTTTGTCTCAAAAAAAAAAAAAAGTATAAATCAAGAGGGAATAATTATGGATTCATTATTTCATATGTGTGACTCAAAGGATTATAAAAGACAACAAAATGACATTCTCCTAAAAAGTATAGCTATGTCCTGTGGGCAAAATGAAATGTAAAAACAATCACAGTCATGTAATTTTAAGTTAATCCACATTCCAGGAAAGTCAATCAGGTTGCCAGCATTTGACATAAGTTGTGTGATCACTTTGATGATCTTTTGGTTGGTAGTTAAAGAATTCTCTTACTTTACTATTGGCTTGAGAAAATATGATTTGGAAGTTTCTCACTGAAAAAAGTTATATTCTGAAGCCAAATGTAAATTATAAACTCATTTGAATTATGTTCATTTTTGCTGGGATTGAAGTTTTCCTGGATATAGCAAACATTTCTTTTCATAGCAGTGCGTGCATTGTGTTTTGCTTACATTATTTCCTATGAAAAAGAGTGCTTTGTTGTAAAAAGCCTCACAATTCCAGAGTGAAATGTGTGGGCACTGGCAGGGCAAGAGGAGAATCCCTGTACTGGAACTGGGGCTAGATAAGTAGTAAACCACTTGCTTGGACCCTCTTTGAGTCAGGCAAGGTCTTCTGCAGTTGCTTCACATTTACTTTGACAGATGTGGTTTGGTTATCCCCCTGTTTGTTTCTGAGACTCTGAAATATTCTGTTACTTTGTTGGATCCTGATGCTCTCCCTTTTCATGCCTTCACTAGGATCCTCAGTAGCTTAGAGTCCTACTTACTCCTCTCTCCAGCTCTATTTTCTGCCCTTCCATCCATTAAAGACCGTCTTGAGTTTCCCCTTCTACATGAAGACTTCCTTTGCCCTCCTGGCTAGATGTGATCTTTTCCTGTGACGCTTTACCACTATGCCACTCTGCTTTGTAGTTACTTAGGTACATGCATCATTCTCCCCATGTTGGCTCCACATACAGTAAAATGAGAACTAACATTTATATGATATGAGTTTACAGTGCCACTGTTTGAGCATCTCATTTATTCTCATAATAGGCTCATCTGTCTGAAACAGGTAGATGATAGTTTTAATTTTTTTAATGTGATAGATGAAGAGATTTTCCTAGCTAATATATAATTTTGTCTAAGATTACATAGGAAAGAGATGATGTTGGCTTGTTAACTTAAGCTCAGTTTGTGGGACCCCTGAGCCTTCGCTGTTTTTGCCTTTTGTTATTGTGATGAACCGAATCCTGAGGGCATAACTCCTTGACTTGTGTGGGTGTCCCCTGCAGTATCCAGCAGAGCACCACCTGACATCTGTGGACAGTAGTAAATCCTGGTGTGCAATTAAATGCCAAAAGCTAATAGTCAAGATAGAGGTGAACTCATTTGTAATAAAGATGTCTGGCATTTACTGCATGCTTTCTGTTTGCATGGCACTGTGGCTACTTTACATACCTGATTTCATTTATTCTTTATGTTTAACATTTTATTACAGAAAATTGCAAAAATGTACAGAGTAAATGCCAGGTACGGTGGCTCACTCCTGTAATCCCAGTACTTGGGGAGGCCAAGGTGGGTGGATTGCTTGAGCTCAGGAGTTTGAGACTATCCTGGACAACATAGGGAGACACCACCTGCACAAAAAAGTACAGACATTAGCTGGGCATGGTGGTGCACGCCTACAGACCCAGCTACTTAGGAGTCTGAAGTAGGGCGCTCGCCTGAACCTGGGAGGCCGAGGCTGCAGTGAGCTATGATCATGCCACCGTGCTCCAGCCTGAGCGACGAAACTCTGTCTCAAAAACAAACAAAACCCCTAAGGATAAACAGTAGAGAAAATGGTAGAATGAACTCCCATCTACCTACAACCCCTGTTCGAGAATGATTAGCAATCTTTTTTTTCCCATTTATCTCCATTCTTCTACTTTAAAAGTGTTTTTTTATTCTGAAATAAGTTCACACTTATAGAAAAGTCCCCAAAATAAAAAAAAAAATCACAAAAACTACATGTAACTGTATGCAGATGGATTTAATAACATTTTATCCCAAATTGTACGTTGTTTTTTCTCCTCCTCTCTCTGTCATTCTGTACTTTCTTCTCTCCTCCCCACCTTTGTCTCTCTCTCTCTCTCTCTCCCTCTCTCTCTCTCTCTCTCTCTCTCTCTCACACACACACACACACACACACACACACATAGTTTTTTTTTAACCACTTAAGGTAAGTTACATGCATACCTTTACTCCTAAATACTTCAATGTGTATTTCCTGAAAGAGGGTATTGCTTATGCCACCACAGTATAGTTAACCAGCTTCAGTAAATTTAACATCCAACTGTCCTTAAAAGCCATTTGCTTCTATGTCAATAAAAATAAAGAAATGGTATTTTCCTCTGTATTTTAAAATCTCTTTATAGCGTTGTTTGTATTTCACTTAAGTTGGATTTTTACAATTAGGTTTTCTTGTAACCACTCTGCTATCAATTTATGTATCTTAGACTAAAAGCCCCATGAGTCAGCATGCACCTCTTTTCCTCCTGTTTATTATTGGTGCTGCAGTACTCGGTGAGTGAGTGGTTGGCATTCAGTCAGAATGTAATCCCCGTGATAAATAACTGGAGGAATTACTAATACCTTTTGATTACCACTAGTAAGTTTTTAAAATGAACAGAACTTAACTTAGATTTTAGGGTTTTTTTTTTTTTTTTTTTTTACAGTTTTTTCATATGTATCAAGTGTGATTTCTTTCACTGGAAGTGGTTAGAATGAATTATATGTTAATAGATTTATCTTGTAATATTTATACTATGTGCAAGCAAAACTGTATTCATAATTTTCCAGCATAAGAAAAAATTGTTTCCATTCTGTTTAGTTTAAATATTCTTCTAATATGCTGACAAAATGGATAAAGAATCAATTGATATATTACTTTACTAATTAGAAGAGGGTCCTGCAGTTTTAATTAATGTGGTATTTTTAAATGAACTTTTTACCGAATCTTAGAATTCCACAACCACCTGGCATACTTTA